TTACTACTTCGTACCATCCCCAGTCAAATGGCCTCACGGAGCGCCTCAACAGGACCCTAACTGATATGCTTGCCAAATACGTTGTGCCAGACCACCAGGATTAGGACATTCATTTGCCGCATGTGACGTTCGCCTACAATTCATCCCGTCACAACACTGCCAGCTATTTGCCCTTCCATCTCCTATATGGCTGGGACCCAACTCTACCCTTAGACGCTTTGCTACCTACGGCCACTGAATATGCCAGGGAAGCCATCGCCCGCACCGACCATGCGCGCCAAGTCGCTCATAACCGTCTACAGGCCTCACAGGCGGACCAACGACAGCTCTACGATTCTCACCATAGGGACGTGCACTATTCTCCGGGTTCTCTCGTGCTACTCTAGCCACCCACTCGGCCTGTGGGAGTCTGAGAACCTGTTGTTGCCCTACAATGGACCATTCTGTATCGTTCGCCAAGTGACAGGCGTCACGTACGAGATTGTCCCAACCAATCTAACAAAGTCATCATCAGCTCCGAGCAACACCATTCACGTGGCTCGGCTAAAGCCCTATTACCCCTCCTTCGACATCATCTGCGTAGATTTAGCAACAGGACGGTGCTTCTACCGCCAGGGGTTATGATACATAACAGCCGCTAAACGCGGCTGCATGAAAGAGGAGGACGAAGTGAGTTTTTTGATTGATGCTGGACTGGCGTAATCTTGCTCGTCGAGTTCTGTGCGTTGTAAATAAATTATTAAAGAAGTTACTCGTAACAGTATTGTTGTTTTAGACGTTGTCATACATTGAGCTTTCACTCTGGCGTAAATTGTTGTTTGACTTTAGTGTCCCTTTAAAGAAAGCACGCTGGAGTGCTTGCCTCTAACTCGATGTCATGCTGTGCTCGCTTTTAAATTGCAGCACACCGAAATAACTGAAACATCTTTTACATTGTACCCGCAGTTTGCTTTGATGAGCTTCCTACTTTTCTGAAGCGAGGTTCGATTGACGCAAGAAGCTTGCCAGGTCCTTGATTTTCAAGAAATCGCACCTCAAGACCAACAAAACAGGAGGGCCCATGCACGTTCGCTTGCAGATGGCTCTCTTTGCACTACCCATTTATGGCTGGTGCGTCGATGGGGGCGCTGGTGGCGGCGTTTTTTGCAGTGCCACCTGGCCAGAGTCTGATGTCTATAAGAGAATTTTTGTGGCTCTATAATAATGAAAAGAGATCTCACTTGTTTGTGTCATGACATGCAAATGACAGAAGAAATAATGCAACTGTGCCTTGTATGCATCAAGTTTTCATCTCTAAATCTACAAGCTATTGGTATGACACTGCCTAAAACTTTATATGTAGTCAGTACAGTCACAGCCTCCACATCACCGTGGAGCAACCAGTATTGTCCAAGAAACATGGCTGCACTGCCGGAAGCAGTTGTCACCATCCTCGAATCTATCGAGTGGCCGCCATGTGCTCTGTAGCTAGTAAGCTCCGAACTGACCCTTCCATTCGTATTATATTTATGTCCTTAAGCTTTGACAACACAATATTTGGATCAATTCAGCGCCGATTTTGAGAGCCAAACTGAAATAATTGATGTTGTAGGCTTAATGTGTAATGATTGGCACTCTCCAATTCTAAGAAGGAATGGATTACGCCTTTGTCAGTTTTCTTCTACTTAATGATAGCCGGTGCCACTAGTCCTAACGTCAGCTTGACGACACGTTATTTGGTTTTACGTTACACTTTTTTGAATACGGGGACACGAAGGCGCTTTATTGACTGCTTGAACCATGCCTGGCAGCTAGGCGGACGACATCACCATTTGTAGCATGATAAACCCAGAGCATGAAGCTAGTAGCTCGAAGTGTCCAGCAGTGGACGCAGATAACGTGAAGAGCCGAAAGCAGACTTTGTGGGTCCCCAATTCCCAAAATATTGTATACCGGTGGCAAGGGCCATGATCAAGAAAATATGCTGGATTACTTCGACCTCGGTGCGTTGCACAGAGTCATGCACAATTTCTGCTAAATGAAGGAACTTACAACTGTGTGCAAGCTCACCGTTAAGAGCACTCGCCACTTGAAGACGCCTAGCAGGCGACAAGGTTCAGAAGGATACATTTAGAGGTGCTCATCGTCTTGTCTGGTCGAGAAGAACTGCATGGAACTCATGAAACAGAGTGTAGTGACGTCAGAACAGACCTGTAGTGAGCATGGGCGTGCACAGGGTTACCCTTCTGGGGGCGGGGGGCAAAGTTTCATCGCAGTGCACCCCCTCCGTATTATTTCAATGTGTGGGGCTGACTTTGCAGCCAGCATCCCCCTTCTTAGGTGACTAAGGGAGCGGCTCCCTTCCCCCTCCCTTGTGCACGCCTATGGTAGAGAGGTGAGTGACTTACAGAACTCCGCCACATAAATACTGGCAAGGCCTCGCAGCTGCTGCAGCTAGCTATGACAACTGTCCGTGTGTTTGTTTCACAGATGCTTGTAGGGCATGTGTGTGTGAAAGCAGACAATACCCAGCACGACGTACGTCACAGGCTTTAGTGGTGCCAAGACGAAGCCACATACACTGCTATGTCACTGACCAACTTTGGCGCCAAAAAGCTGAAACCGAAAACTCTCCACATATATGACGCAATAATGAATTATTTAGCCAGAATAAATGAATCTCTGTGCATGTACCATGCTTCTCGAAGCTATAAAAAAAGCTTGCAAGGAATGCGCAAGCCACAAGTATGGCGGCACCACTTGCCAACAGGCCATGATGCTGCTTACTTTTTTCACTATGATGCCGTTTCTTCAATCAACACAAAATAAAACTAAGATGCGAATATTATTAGTCACACAACAGCAGAACAAGACAGCCTCTATAGCTAACACATAGAATAATAAATATGCCACGCTGCTACGTTACACGACAAGCCTTCTTGCAGATGCACCACATTGGAGCATTTTTATCACAAAACACAGTGCGATAGCAAATGCGTGCTATCTTAGAGCTGCCATTTAGTGACAAAGGCTAATTACAGGGACACCAAAAGCAAACATTGGTTAAGAATGGAAAGTTTTGCTCACACACATGCTGCACCATTGAATGATTGATGCAACATAATTGATGCAGTGCTCGTTCTGTGTACTCTTTTGTACATATCATTCAAAAGTTCAATTAAAGTTCGCCTGTTCAGGCGTTGGATGCGATAAAACACGGTCACTGACCAAGTTGATGTGACGGTTCGAAACAGCGTATGGGTTCCTTACTAAGCTAAACTGGAAGTCCACATATGTTTCACGTTTTCATGTCTAATACCCCTGTCACACGGCCACCACCAAACTCCGTTGAACACCGTCAACGTAAATCTCCCTTAGGGGGTTCGACGGAGAAGGAGTTGTGGCAGTGTCGCACAATTATGACAAGGTTGTAACAGTTGCCGGGGGGGGGGGGGCTCAGCTGGCGATGTTTAATTTTCGGAAAAGTATTCTAATTTCATCCCTATTGATTTTTTTAATCATCATTACACGGTTTTTACAAAAAAGCACTATTAAGTAGGTATGCAACTAACAAACCATTAAAAATAATTTAAAATGAAAACGCATTTGCTAAATGTAGCGATGCTGCTAGTGATGCTGGCCACATTGTGCTTTTAGTTGCTTTGTTGCCTGTGTACATGCCCGGTACGAAAGTTCTTATGCTTCTATGCCTCCTGAGCGCACATTTTGTGTTCTTCAGCCATGAGTGACACAGCGGACAACGTGAGGAAGTGGTACGATATTGCGCGGGTAATGATGTTGGTCGGCTGGCGCCAGCCGGCCCGACTTGCGAGGCACGGTGTTGAGAGTAAGTGAACTCTGGCGGGCGTAAATATATGTAAACAAACACGCGTTGTGAATGAGTACTACAGCGAAAGAACGTTTAATATTGCCAAAATGTATTATTCTTTCACTACGACCACTTACTGCTCGAAATTTTTCTCTGACCTCTAGACTGCTGGGGACGAGAGTACCTTGTTTTGATGCGAAGGGAGATCGTTGAACGTCCTTTGCGAAATGCTCCGTTTACCTTCGTTTGCGTAAAAGTGGCCGTGTGACACGGACCGCATCTTCGTTATCGTAAGGACGAGGGAGTTAAACGGTCTTCGCGGGTGCCCGTGTGACAGGGGTATTAGAGCTGTTGTAGCACCGAAAGGCGGGCGAGTTGGAACTTATCCATAGTGGGCAGCGCACAAAAGGAAACACACAAGAGAAGGAATCAGGACAAGCGCTGGTCCTGATTCCTTCTCTTGTGTGTTTCCTTTTGTGCGCTCCTCTCGCCAAAGGAAACACACAAGAGAAGGAATCAGGACCAGCGCTTGTCCTGATTCCTTCTCTTGTGTGTTTCCTTTTGTGCGCTGCCCACTATGGGTATTAGAGCTGCATCAATCATGCAAACATCTGTTCAAGCTACAGTCTTGAAAAGCTATGCTAATCACAAGTGCTACAGACATTACAGCAACTAAAGGACATAAATGAAACACTATCAGGACATTTTAGCACTAGCCAAGTGACGTACCTAGTGCATGACGTAATCCTACCACCAGCACACCACCACTTGTAGTATGAAGGTAGTCCGCCTTCTTCATTTTAAATGCGACTGCATTTCTTAGTCGAACTATGTCTGGCAGCCGCTCGCCGGCATTTTTTTGCTCTCACTCCCTGTCCCATTGCAACAGCTGCGGGCGCACGCACATATCCTCGCCCCTAGCAGCCGGAGCATGTGGTGTGAGTGTAGGACAGGGTAGGTGCAGTACTTCACCGCTCCTCTCGCCATTCGCTATCTCTCCTCCTTGCGCCCCACTCTCTCGTCCTCTCGCGCCTCCCTCTCAATTGTTCGCTGGCTGGGTACCTCTTAAGAACATCTGGAAATGTGTGCTCAAGACGCCACTGTGAAACACCAGCGCAGAGCCGAGAATGCTGGCGCCCCCTCTCCCGTCTGCTCGCTCCTCGCTATCGACCATTCGCTGGCTAGGCCCCTCTCAAGGCAATGGCAGAGTCAGTGAAGGCGAATGTCTGATGGCAATGATGCCCTCCCTATGCACAAGAAATGCATTCACATTTCCTCACCGGAGGTGGGGGCAGTTTTCATGTACTGCCCTCCAATTTGCAAGGGGATGGAGAAATCGGTACTACAGTAAAGGTCATTAGTTTGAACTTAACTAAATTTCCTGTACTAGTCCCGGCACATCCCTGTGATTTTTCTATGAGTGAAAGCCCCTAATAATTCAAACGCATCAGTATTCTTAATGGTTTCGAATTGGGAACCCACTTATTTTATTGCTCCTCACAGAAGTCGGCCAAGAGTGATCGCAACATGTTTCAAGACCAAACCAAACCAAGTTTACTAGAGATGCAGAACAACTAAACAGCAGCGTTTCTCAGCTGATGAGAATTAGAATGCTATGCTGAAGCTCTTGGGCAAATAGCAAACAATGCTCACGGAGTCGCCACAGAAGAAGTTCAAGCAAATGCAATTTACCGATTCCTTCTAATCTTGATTGGGTTATCTCTGCCATCTAAATAAACGTGTTTTGGAGTATACAGAGCATCATACATTTCGCCATCAAGGCTCACTGCTTATATGAGTGCCGCGTCCGCGCTTGTTTCTAGCATATCACTGACTGATCAATTAATTTCTGTTTGCTATTAGAGCTCCATGAACTTAATATATGAAACAACCTGCTGCAAACATGCAGCGCCGAATTTGAAATAACAAGTCCATCTTTTATGTTCTTCCTGTGCAGTATGGTGCGGTCTGTCCATCCTAGCACATGCATGCTAATTTGAACAATTTCATAGTCTTGTCTGAGTCTAAATTAATGTACTTTAATTCGATATTCAGAATAAAGCCCTCAAAAGAAGGCCACATATGCCATGGTATTATGCACTGCAAGACTGAACAAAATACTAGCTATGCACTTCTTGTTGATTCCTGGAGAAGCAACCATTTAGACATTGCGCTATGTGTTCAAAAACCATATCCCTGCAAAGATTTGCTATGAGTGACAGCTACCATTCTCAAAGGCTTCAGAGGCTTCTGAGTAATGATAGCACCACATTTGACAGTGGTAGCTAACAAGATTGTAAACTTCAAGTTGAGCATAAAACAAATGCTGCATGGTTTCTGAATATTAATCATTTTTGTGAGGATTTACGTGGCCCAGAAGTGGATTTTAAAAGCCCACTAAAACTTTGCTTTTAGTGTCCCTTTAAGCACTGCTAAGTAGGCTGCAGAACTGAGTTAATACACGATTTGTAATACTTATTTGAAATGTGATATGCAGACCCTGACGGTGACTTGCGCAGGCACACCCTTCTGAAGGTTTTCGCAGAAATGTGTTGAACTGATGCAGAACACACTACAGTTGAGACCACAGGCAGTGTGGCAAGTCTTATAGTTCACTCGAGCGATGGACGAAGACGTCACAATGAACCTTGCATGCCTGCAAAGGTAATCAATTAAGCCTGCAACTGGCTGACATGTTTTCACTTGACATGTGCTAAATCGATAAGACCTTTGGGTCAAAGTGAGTCAGGAATGCAAACGAAAACATCTCAAGCTTCAAGACAAGTCTGTACGGTTGGTCTAACTATAAAATGGGACAGAGTTGTCCTGTTGCAAGTTACTGCGCACTGCTTGCGAAGGACAAAATGGCAGTGACTATGCCCACAAGCTTGAACATAACAAACCCTGGGGCATCTGGTAGCGTGCATATCTCTGCAAAGTGCAGGAGAACTAGTCCAGGATGGCAAAATGTTAATCTTTGGCTTTGAGCAACCTCTGCGCAGGGCAGCAGCAAAGTGCGTCTTGCCGCACTATACTCAGTGCTACACTTAGAGCAACAAGCTCGCGTAAGGCTGCTTTTCAAAATAGCGATACAGTTTTGACGAGAACAGCAGGCTTCGAAAGTTCGTCATGTGCATGTCAGGAACATAGTGCTCCCGCGTGTTCCTGACACGGAAGAGTGGAGTGCACTTTCCGTACACATTGACCACAGCCGACCGCTTGGGCACTAGGACATTGTCCTCAACCGGATGGTTGGGGCTTCTTAGTGTGGCAACCACATCTTTAGCGTACCCAGTGGCAACGAGGAACACCCTGTGCTTTTCCGAAAGCCGATGGTACTTGACCTTACGCTGCGTCACGAAACGTATTTGCAGTGAGCTCGCCACGATGTCGTCTGAGAATTCGTCGCAAAAATAGTGCGTGTGAAAAAGTACCAAGGGAGGAGTCGTGTCGTTGCCACGCGAGCTCAGAAACTTCAGCTCGCGCGCCAGCTGGTGGAGGTCCTTGGCTGCCGCCAGCGCAAGGAACTGATTGGTGTGCAGGAACAAGGCGTGACGGGCCCGCTTCTTGCTTCGGATCAGGCAGTCGGCGATGCGCGCCGACTCGGAAACGTTCGAGAAGCGGCGCGGCAAGTTCCACGGAAGCAGCTCGGCGCTGGCCAAAGTGCGCCCGGGCGCTGCCGCCAGTAGCCCCTTGACGTCGGCCAGCGAGTCAGAGTCATAGAAGACGAAGTCGTCGACCCCTACGTGGCTGTGGTAGACGACGAACTCGACGAGCGTCAGCGGAGTCATCGTCGACACAAGAGGGGGTACGCAGACGCTGAAGTTTCGTGTCGCGTTCGTCGGGGAAGTTGAGTCCACGGGCACGAGCTGCGACTTGTCCACTTGGCCGGAGGCCGTCGTCCACGAGAAGGAGACCGCAACGGGCTTGATCGAGACGTCGCGTATGGCACACTCCAGGAGGACCGCCGACGTCGAGTCGCCTTCGCTGGAGGCGGCTGCGCTCAGCGTGGTGACCACGAAGCTGTCCGATCGGACGTGGAGCACGCCGTCAAACCACAGTAGGCAGCCGAGGTCGGCTGGGAGGTCTCGTTCGATGACGGCGACGATTCTCGACACGTTCGCACCGTCCTCCGCGACGTCCCAGTACGCTGAATAGACGAAGAGTGACCAACTCTGCGATGCGAAGACCTCTCGCCACACGGGGAACACGACGGGCATCAGGGCGCCGCCGGAGTCGAGCTGGGAGCGTCGCAGCAGCTCGATCTGCCGGTCGCACTTGACAGCCGCTTCCTTGGTCTCGAACACGTCCATCACCTCGAGGATAACCTTCATGTTGGCGTATCGCCGCTCGCAAATCAGCAACGCGAGCACGGAGAGAATGCATATGACGATGAGGGCAAGCTGCGTATACTTTTTCATTGTGGCGCTACTTCAATTGAAACAGCAAAACACTTGTTACAAAATGGTGTTCAACTTCTACGGGCTCTTTCAGCAAGTCTACCACTTAGGGCCCATGTAGTTCGTCCCCAACGTGAGGCGCCATGCGTTCCGACAAAATCACACGATCCACTGGGCCTTGCGTATCCGACAACTTACTCTCTAGCACGCGCTGGGAAAACTCGCGAAACTACCTCTAACGAGCAATCGCACTTTATCTGTGGTCCAGTTCAAAGGATACTCCTGATAAACTCCAGCAGACCGCAAACTAAACAGTACAAAGCGTCAGGAGTTTTCAAACTCGCTTGTATCAAAAAACCACGACTCAAAGAACACCTACGACTTTGCTTGTACCAACGCCTCTTTTATTAAGATGCCTGACAAATGGCTCGTGTACCAGTATAGAGTTTCCCAATATACACTATGTGTGCCAGCACAGGCCCCGGAAACTCTCAAGTTCAAGTGATCCTCTGTAGGGGGCAAAACATACAACCACGGCGAAGTGTGGCAGCTTGGGCTAGTTGGTATGGCATGACGATAGTTATAGCGCGAGAACAAAACGACACAGAGACAAGAAGGACACGGAAGAAACTGTGTCGTCGTCAGAGACAAGAAGGACACGGAAGAAACTGTGTCGTCGTTTTGTTCTCGCGCTATAACTATCGTCAACCACGGCGCATTCCTGCTTCAAACACCTAGAGTAGATCTACTAAACTCTCTCGCCACTCGGGCTATTGCTAGGTGGATGGATGATTGAATGTGGCTGTACCCTTCAGATAGATGAATGGGTGGATGTATGTGGCTGTACCCAACGTTTTTAGAACAATTGTTCTGAAAACGTTGGCTGTACCCTTTAGATCGAGCGGCGGCTAACGCCACCTAGCCATATTACTTAGTGAACTAACTACTAGATTTATTTTTTTCCCTTTAAATAGTGAAGTTGACGACTAGTACTTTGCAGTGAAGAGTTTAATTTTCACTCGTGCCTTGACTTTAGCTACCAATCAGATAACCTTCTTTTAGTTAATTCTACCCGCTTAAAGTTTATTTTGCCCTCCCTGTCCCTAAACCTCAGTGCTTTGAAAAACTCTGTGCCATCATCCTGAACTATAGGGTGAAGGTCTTTACAGAACATTATTAAGTGTTCGGCAGTTTCCTCTTCTTTTCCACATGCACTGCATACCGTGTCTACCCCTTCGTATTTGGCCCGATATTTCTCGGTTCGCAATACTCCAGTCGTGGCCTCAAACAGTAGAGAACTACCCCGAGTATTATCAAAGATCCTGTCCTTGGCGACTCCCTGCTTAAAATTTCGATAGATATCTAGTGCGGACTTTTTAATGATTCTAATTCTCCACATGTCGGTCTCCTTTTCGTTCACCTTCTTTTTAACCAATAATTTTTTTTGTTTGGCTCCTTGCTGTTTTTTTAAGTATTTACCCGTCATTTTTATAGTTCGCTTCCTCCATTTTATATCGACATTCTTCATGTACAAGTAGCTGAAAACGTTCCTAGCCCAACGCTCCTCCCCCATTTCTCTCAATCACTTCTCAAATTTTATCTTGCTGCTATAGCTTCCTTTCCCTCAAAAAAGCTGCCGCCTACGCCGCACACACACGTGTTCAATTTCGCTAGTAACCTTTCACTAGGTATCTTCGTGTTCGGCTTCGGCAAGGTAGCGGCCCCACAAGAGCATGAGTTCTCTATTGAAAAATTGTGTCAGTTCTTTTTTATTACAAACCAGATGTACCCATAAATAAATAACTCTGAAGCGCTCGTGGCGCTTGTCAATAATATCGCGCAGCTGAAGGGAGTTTAAAAGCGTATAGTCATTTGTGGTGGGCCTAGCTGCGATGACCGTTTGCAAAGTGGCAACACTGTGCTATCCCCTCCGCGTCGAAGAAGAGCGTTCGGCAACCCTTCGAAGAAAAGAAGCGCAGGTCGCCGTCTATCCTACACAAGAAGCACGAGCCCAGGCGGCGGACGGAGCGCGCAGACGACGACACGATGGACGTGTTTCTGATGGTGCGACGTAAAAAGACCACCATCTTTCTGGACGCCAAGGAGACAACCTCGGTGCGCGAGCTGAAGAAGATGATCGCCGGAATCACCAAGGTCGCGCCCGACAACCAGGTGCTGTACAAAGACGACCAGTGCATGGACGACAACAAAGTGCTCACCGAGTACGGCCTCAACAGCAGCACAGCCAAGGCCCAGGCGCCGGCCACCGTGGGGCTTGCCTTCCGGGATCCCGACACGGGAAAGTTCGAACCGCTCGAAGTGACGCCGCTATCGAGCCCACCCGAGCTGCCGGACGTCATGAAACCGCCCGAGTCGCAGACCCACGAACAAACGGTGGCCTGAGGCGTTCGTTGCCGCAACACTTACTTCAGCGCCTGCTTCTCGGACCCCCCCCTACCACGACGCATTTCTTTTTCTTTTCTCCCTGTCTTCCCTCTACGACCACGGTTGAAGCTTTTCCTCATTCCCTGGACCACCCTTCCGCATCAGTGCCTCTTTGGGGACTGCGCTTTTGCCTTTGGTTCAACTCCCGTTCTGTGTGTGTGTGCTTTCACGGCGCCGGACTGTCATCGATTCGGAACAGGAAAATGGTGGGTCACCACTAACGAACTGCCGTGACGTGCGAGATAAAAAAGTGCTTTTTTCATTATTTTTTTGTTTTCTTCCCGCATTCGAAGAAGCAATTAGCCTGATGTCAAACCTCAGCTGTCACGTGAGTGCTGTTGCTAGACCCCTCAACCCGCGTTGTCTCTGTTCGGCACGCGCTGGAAGAGGACGGGGGAAAAGTTAGTTTTGTTTTTTTTTTTCGGTTTTTTATTCCACCCCTTACATTTTGACCTAACGGTGACGCTGCATTTCTTTCTACCCTCCATGTCAGTTTTTCATTTTCTCGGGCTGATCGGAGAACTTGTGTTGAGTACCCGCGTCGGAAAAACACATTTCGTTTCATCAGTTGAGTGCGCCGATGACTGCACAGTTCGCCGACAGCCCTTCACATCGTTTAGTGCCACTTTTTGGTATCTGAGCCCTGCGCGATAGTTGCCCTGTTTTTGTTTTCACAGTCAGTGAAGCTGTTCGGTGTGTCACTAGTGCAGAAACAACTCCCGCACCTTCACCCGGACTTGCGTGAAATCTAAATATAAACTATTCTTGGCACCGTTCGTGCTTGGCGAGTCGAGGGCAACTTGTACACTCTTCACTTCTCGAACATCCGTGTTCACCTAGAATTTGAAATAATGACACATCATTTCTGTTGTTTTCACTTGGCAGCGTATTAGCAAACTTGCTCCTTTCACCACTTTCTGGTTGGTTGCGTGGAATAGAGACCCCACTGCGTAAGCCTCGACCGAGAGTCCCTTGAAAGTTTTATTGTGAAACTTAAAATGCTGCATCCCTGCCCAGATTGGGCCCTGTCCATGATTCAAGCACATAGCGACAGCACCGCAGGTATTCTCTCTGTGCCCTTACTGACGATTCGTAACTATGTTTAGCTTTTCACGTGAGCATTTAAATGCACTGAGCTGCACAGACTAGGGGCAATCGCTTCGTGCATAACAGTGCCGTGCGTGCAGTCATTGTGATGGCCTTGAAATGCACTGGTGCAGAGTGGTTGTCGAATGGTTGTTTGTACACACAGCAACTATGCTGCTCATCACATTTAATTTATTTTAATGGAGAAAAAGATTGCCTAGAAGCTCTTTGTAAAACCAAAACAGTTGTGTGTGTGGAACGAATGTGAATACACTGTTGGAGGCAATTTTCTTTGTTTTTAAAAGGAATTTGTTGCCTACAACGTGAGATATTGCTTTTGTTATATAGAAAAAAAATAGTCAAGTGTTTAATAGTGGCGAGGCGCATGCTTTGTTCTGAATGTTGAAAATAATTGTACTTAAAGATTCACTGTGTAGAAGATTCATTTGGCACATTAAAGCAGTTTGTTTTAAGATTGTGCATACATACATTGTGTAGCTCATTGTAATAGTGTTTGTCCAATTTTCTAATCATTGAGGGCATTGTGCTATCACAAGCTGTGCTTCTGATAGCTATTGAAAAAAAGAAAAATCTGTGCCAGTAAGAGCACCTCTTTGGAACGACAGGCATTTTGCAACAGGCTATAAGGCCCCATTAGTAGAATAGCGTGACATGCATAACAAAAGCCAATGTGATGTTAATGAAGATACATGAAAGTTAGCGTATGAGCCTCAGTCAAACTGGTCATGGATGGCTGGCATTGACATCACTGAGACTGCAATGTTAGAGCAGTGACGCAAAATTTTGCTGTGTGACATTAGTGTGATCATTATACGCCATACTGATTCTGCATTCGTGCACGGAGGCCCATAAATGTTTAAAGCAATGTCGTTATCACACTGGCAGAGCAGCAAAGGGGCTAATGTACAAACATCTGGTAAAGCCCACACTTGGCGAATGAAAGACTTGTCACCAAGAACGGTTTGCTGAAGATATGCCAAGGCTCACAACTGAAACGCACAGCTCCCTACTCACAAACGACGAGCAACCAATCCGTGAAAAGTGTGAAGAACCGTTAGAAGTTATGCACATTCTAATCGCATGTCGCCATTCTCGAGCAGGTAGCGTGAAATACCGATTTGAAGTTGGTTCTTGTCTTTTTGTTCCTTGCTTGTGTTATCTTACCTTTATACACCTGCTCCCAAACTCTCTAAAAACTTCAGTTCTCGTAAAGTGTCCCCATACTGCTTTGTAGAGGCAAAAATATTTTGGCCAGCTGTACAAACATTACACGCTTATCTGCCTTATTAAGCCTCTTGGAGATGATTCTCTTGTACCATTGCTGTACTTTTTGAAAGAATGTGACTTTTCAAGTGAGCTTTAGCAGCTGTATCATTTCACTGTTCATTACTTAAAGCGGCACTAACACAAAATTTTGCAGTTGAGATAGCCTCTGGGGTCGATTCCCAAGAACATTCATATATCATCTGCAAAATATCAACCGCAAATATAGCTGGGAAGGTATTTTCAAAGAGTTTTGAAATTTGCGTGAGCCCTCGACTCCATCGTGCCATTGGCATCCTCGAAGAGGACCTTTTGGGGACTCCCTACTTCCCTCATGTCACCACACTGCAGTCAGCAAAACAAGTTATGATGGCGTCATAGCCTCCACTTTTCTTTCGCCGCGTTTGTTCCTGCAGTCTATATTTCTTGGCAGTTTCTTGGCAGCTGGTTGCGAGTGTGTGGCCGTGGTGCACGCTTAGAAAGCTTTGTGTTTGGTGACATTGCAGTCCTGTTTCCTATTCTAAAGTAATTCTTGATGCAAACCGAGTGGAAGTGAGTCACAGTTCTGTGTGCTGACGCTAGGTGGTGCTTACGCTAGGTGGTGACAGTTGCACCCAGTTTTTGGAGCTCTCTCGAACTGAAACTGATCGATAATGAGGGGCCTTTAATTATCTGTTGTGTACAGCAAGAAACAATACATCATGTCATGACTAACAGGCCCCAGCAACACATTGCAGCAGAATAACGAGAGGCCAAAATCTTTGTGTCAGTACCCCTTTAACAACTTGTGACTGGCTCAGCATTGCCTCAGCTGCTTTTGCTCCGCACAAATCCAATTAGCCGACCGAAGCAGTTCAATTGCCACATCATTATGCTGCCTTGATGCCATGTAGGTTGCTCTGTCGTGCCTCTGCCATGTTGCATGCAAGCTATTAATTTTGCACGGCAGTCGAGTGTTCTACCTCAGAGCCATGCCATTGCTTGAGACTACTTGTGTAGGGGGGGGGGGGGGGAACCAGCACAAGTGTCGTCTAGGGAAGGCATTACATATAAACGTGTATGTGGCAGGCATCACACGATGTCATTTGTGTAATGAGTGAATGGTGTAATGCTTCCCACCCATTTCAGTGCAGTGAGCCGTAATCATCATCAGCAACAGCCCTCACATGACCTCTTATGCTCTGATGATGATGAAATGGCCACAATGGACTTCGAGTCGCCTTAGGCATTAGGGAGCGTGCTAGTTTTTGTTGTTTTTCTTGTAAGATGTCTCAAAACATTTACTGGAGAAAACTTTGATGCTGCGGTTGCTCAGGTACCATAGGAATGATGGATAGGACATGGATTTGTCTATTCATGCTTGCAGCTTTGAATGCGCTTGTGGCTTTGTTTACTGTTGTGTCCTGGTGTTTGTTTTAGATAAAAGATTTTAGATCATTGTGAACTTTGTGACTTGATTTAAATTGGTGAGAGGTTAAGGTGTTGGAAGTGGAACTGTTAAACTTCATCTTGTGGCTAAGTGACTGCAGGCCACACAGAGGCAAAAAAAAAAATGAAGCTTAGCCAAATCCGTGTGCCATCATTCCTATGCTGTCTGAAGTGCCACATGCGTTGCAGCTCTCATGGACTCTAGTGCCAGAGTTCCTTCAAGCGCATTATTGTGAAACTCAATGTTTTTACCAACCAAGACAGTCGCAGGGTTTTTGTAGCCGAAGAACAATGTGCCTGGGTGCTCACACCGGCCAAGAGCAAAACCAGTGAGATTGTCCATGTTTAAAAATTAAGAAATCATCAGCAGTAGAAATTTAAAAGTAGCAAGGAAACTAGTAACATGCTCATTGGATAAGGTTAGGTAAGAGGCACTCTCAAGTCTTGGTATGTAGATGTTAAATGGTCTCGTGCACATTGATCTTAGAAAAGGCAGTGCCATGGGGAAGCTGATGGGAAAAACAACCAGCTCTTTTAACAAGTGCCACTTCCATGATGAGAGTAGTTGTGATCGAATAAATGAATCTGGTAAGATAGAATTGCTGGTTAACAATGGGTTTGGAGCCCTCTGTACAGATGGCTAATCAGTAAAGCTGAAAGCTGTAGTCCTGACAGCACACTAAAGGGACACTAAAGGTGAATAGTCGACATAGGTCGTCAAAATAGTGTTCAGAAAATCTCATGCACTTGTTTTATGCCAAACTAATGCTGAGTTCGAAAGAAAATTAGATTCTAGTGGCCCACTTACTGTAAGCGCAGTTCAAACTGCTTGCGTCTGAAAACGGATTTGTGACGTGGCTATGCCGACCCTGTACACGTTTTACAGCTTGCCAGCTGGTGCAGTGGAGCAAGTTGTTTTAGCAGAGTACAACCCAGCGAAAATGGAGCATGTGTCGTTCTCGTTGGTAATGTTTGAGAAGCGACTTTTTGCATGAACAAGACTGAAATGCACTGGTTGCATTCTATTCTGTTTTGTAACATGCTCAAGTGTTCTTTTTTATCTTGTTTAATTTGAGCACTTGTGATTAATTGTTCTGCGGTCCTACTATAGGCTTGTGCTTTCAAATATTTCACAGGTGGTGGGTGCAAATAGTGACCTACATTTAGCCTAATTTTCAACTAAGGCACTGCTGTGTTTAATATTGATGCTTCAGACATACGGAGGCATTGACCTCTAGCATAAATTATTTGCTTTCATTGTCCTCTCAAAGACTTGCTCGATTATTGACAATAAAAAGCACTCGTGAAGTGCATATGGTAAGCTGACAGGAAAATTTAGGACACACCTGTTACAAATAAAGAAAGGAGAAGGGGCGGTGGGCACGAGCCACAGGTGCTGGCTCGCTGAGTTGTTCCATTTACCTTCGGCGTAGCCAGACGATCGGGTCCGGGTCTCCCTCTTTGTTCTGGTGCCGAAACCCACCCAGGCGTCTAGCCCTCAACTTTCCACTATGGACCAACTCTGGGCACAGCGCGGTTCTTGCCGGACAGCCATCACCAAGGCAGTATCGACGCTCGACGCCCTACTGGCCAACTCGATGGCCCCGGCTCGCAGGTTCCAGGAGGTCATCGGCATCATTGTGGCGAAACACGCTCACCTCATCAACTTTGACAAGGAGATCCAAGCTGCTCTACACGGTGAGTACCTAGAGGCAGACTTGACCACCGCCAACGAATACCATAATCGGGTCATATCTGCTCAAGCAAGGCTACGCTGCGCAATTGCGTCGTGTGCTACCCCAACCGCATCTGTTGCCGCCACAACCTCTCCATGCAGTGACCCTCTCGCATGTACATCGCAGCCGGCCGCGACTTTGCCTTCGCCCGGCCTTCCGACTTTCACGACACGATCTCGCATCACACTGCCCAAGCTGCATATCCCGAGTTTCTCCGGCGAACAACGCAACTGGCAAGGACTTTAGGACCAGTTTCAAACCGGCATCCACAACAACGACTGGATTCCAAAAATTGATAAGTTCAAGTACTTATTAACATACCTTACACTGACGCTGCGAAGTCAGCCATTCGACGTATTCCTCTGACCGAAGCGAACTATGGCATTGCCATTCAAATCCTATCGGGCCGCTTCGACCGTCGCGACATGCTAGTCTCGACGACCATCTCGATAGTTTGCTGTCAGTCGCACCACTTCGAAGTTCCGCCGACGTGAACAAACTACGAAATCTAGGTGATGAAGCCACCTTCCACACCAACGCCCTAGAAGGTCCCGGGGCGTCTCCGGGAAAATATTGCACAGTGCTGCGGTGCGTCCTCTTGAAGGCGTTACCTTCGGACTTCAGCATCCTATATCGCCAACGGTAGAAGGAAGCCATGCTAACTGAGAACGTCAAAGCATCCCAGGAAGCCTAGTCACAAGTGAAAGACCTCCTGAGCTTCATGAAATAACAAATAGAGATACGGGGAGAAAGCGGTCTCAAGGAACCGATATCGTCTTGAAGCCGGAGGCTTCCACAGCGACACTTGATTACCCGTCAGCCACCCTTGCCTTCCGCTGCGACTTCTCAGCAGAACTTCGATCTCCGTACTCGCACCCCTGCGTCCTCTGCACCTCTCCCGGACACACTGTTGAGGATTGCTTCGAACGTCTTCCTCTGGAAAAGATGCGGAAGACGCTTCTTGCAGAGAAGCTATGCTTTCGCTGCGCCAAACGCAACCACTCCACCAATAATTGCGAACCAGTGATCTAAAGGGGA